ACTCTGCATTCAGATGAGGATATCTTTCCTTTTTTCCTTTGCTTTTCACTTCTCTTCTTTACACAGTTATTTGTAAGGACTCCTCAGACAGCCATTTTTTCTGCATTCCCTTTTCACGGGGATGGTCTTGATCCATGCCTCTTGTACAATGTCACGAACCTCCGTCCATAGTTTTTTAGGCAATCTATCAGATCTAATCCCTTGAATCTATTTCTCACTTCCACTGTAATTGTAAGGGATTTGATTTAGGACATACCTGAATGGTCTAGTGATTTTCCCTATTTTCTTCAATTTAAGTCTGAATTTGGCAATAAAGAGTTCATGATCCGAGCCACAGTCAGCTCCCAGTCTTGTTTTTGCTGGATGTATAGAGCTTCTCCATCTTTGGCTGCAAATAATATAACCAATCTGATTTCTGTGTTGACTATCTGGTGATGTCCATGTGTAGAGTCTTCTCTTGTGTCATTGGAAAAAGGTGTTTGCTATGACCAGTGCATTCTCTCATCAAAACTCTATTAGCTTTTGCCCTGCTTCATCCTATACTGCAAGGCCAAATTTACCTGTTATTCCAGTTATTTCTTGACTTGCTACTTTTGCATTCCAGTCCCCTATAATGAAAGGGACATTTTTTTGGGGGTGATTCAAGGTACCTGCCCTAAATTGAAGGAAAAACATAGGGATCATGAAACAGAAAATAAGGCAAGTTTAATAACTATGCCTAGCAGAAAACAAAACTAAACAAAAAACACTGGCATATGGAACTAACTGGAAGGGAACACATCAGAAACTTGCTAAAAATTATTTTTTAAAAATTTATTTGACTGCACTGGGTATAGTTGCAGCCTGTGGGATCCAGTTCCCTGATCAGGGATTGAACCCAGGCCCCCTACTTTGGGAGCTCGGAGTCAACCACTGGACCACCAAGGAAGTCACCCCTAAAAAAACTTTTTGAAGGAATTTTAGTGTCAGGGAAACTGTGAGCCAGAAAGTCATTAAAACCACCCTTAGACAAGAAGAAAGATACCAAAGCTTCACCATCCACAAGGAGAGGGCCTTCTTCAACAAGCATCTCAGATATTTCTGCCGAGGATAATGGCTAAGGAAGAAGCTCTCAGAGAGATGAGCCAAGGGTCAGAGAAAGCAGATTCAGGGACAGAACAAGAAACTGCATCTCGGGCAGTCAGCCTTGGGGAGACAGTGCCTACCCAAAAGGATTCATCATTTTTGTGGGTCACTGACAGCTGTGTGTATCCTATTCTTTTTCTGACTGGAAGCTTTTATTGCAGTTACACGGGGAGGGATGCAGCTCAGTGAACCTAGGGAAGGCTACATAATTTGCAGTGTCCACTGCAAAAAAAAAAATGTAGGGCCCCAGGGGAAAGTTGCCATTAAAGCAGGGGTCCCCAACCTCTGGGTCATGGACTGGTACCTCCTGTCAGATCAACAGCAGCATTAGATTAGAAATAAAGTGTACAATAAATATAATGTACTTGAATCACCCCGAAACCATCCCCCACTCCTGCTCCAGGGAAAAATTGTCTTCCATGAAACCAATCCCTGGTGCCTAAAAGGTTGGGGACCACTACATTAAAGGCACTAAAATATAAAGTCTTATCCTTCCTTTTACAGCATTTTTTGACTTAATAGTATTTTATAGTTGCTACTTAATGTTATTCTAAATAATATTTAATTTTACTACTCATCTCTCTATTGTGCCATGCCAGTTTTAAATGCAAATATGAGAGGATTTAACTCATGTGGAATTTCTGAAATTACACAATTCTTATTTTGTGGCTCAAGCATGCACATGCATTTTGTTCCTGCCAGACCAGTGGAAATGCTGCATACTCCAAATTCAACTGTTTTTATTTTACGTATCCTTGTTTGCACATTCCTTCAATATGCTTTACTACTTTTGGCTCACTGGTGAGTAAGGAAGGAATGAAAGAAGGAACTATGAGTGTTCCATCTTTCCCTTCCCTTATATGACATCATTTTGTGTAAGTGATTGGCTAATACAGGGAAAGACAGCACAAGAGAAAAGGATATGTTAATAATGCTCCTTGGTCTTTCGTATTTCTTAGAATGCCATTGCCTTCTTTCTGTGTTCAGAGCAAGTTATTGGTTCAGTCAAAGCACAGTCTTTCAGTGACTGGATGGAGCCTTTGATGAGCTCACTTAGGGAGAGATGAGTACGCTCTTTGTGTGGGAAAAAGAGTGAAATGAATATTTGTTAAATAAAGAGATAGACTATTATACTCACCAGGGCACATAGTTAGACCACATTTCCCAGACTCCTTTATAGGTAGATATGCCATGAGACCAAGACCTGTCAGATGGGATGTGGGCAGAGAGATGCAAGAATGCCCAGCAGCACTGTGCTTGGCCCATAGATACTTTCCCCATGATCCCCTGCCGTCTTCCTTCCCTTGTTCACCAGGGAAAAGCAGAGATTTCGGCAGAGGCCCCCAACCCCCAAAAGAGATGATGGAGCAAATTTGGAAAGGTCCTGAATCTCACTAAATTCTTTGAGCAAGGGACAAAATTCTAATGTGTTAAGCCCCTGAGAAATTTAGGCTTGTTGATTATGTTAGTCTCTTCTGAATAGGAGAAACTTCTATCCTCATAAGAAGCTATTTTTAACAGGGATTTATCATCATGAGGACTTAAGTAGCAACAAGACAAGTCAGGTTGTCAGCTGATCCTGGAGACTGGACAGACACAAGGATCAATTCAGGGACTTAAAGATGTTGGTAGTGGGAATCATTGGTGCAGAGGCCACTGGTTAATTACAACATCTGGGTCTAGAACTAACCATGGATGTGTATGTTAAAGTTATAGTTTTTAAGTTGGTAAGCCATGGTGGAGAGGGGTAGGGTCAAGATGACATTATAAAAAAAAATCAATATTATACATAGTTTCTAAGAGACCTTCAGCGAGACCTAAGTAGCACCTCTCCACCCTCACTTCTTTATTCTTTATTATTATGACACCTGCTTATTTCCTTCATGACATGTAAAACAGATATTCATTATATATTTAATTGCTGAATTCTTCATTGTCTGTTTCATCCAGGAGAATGTGTTTCATAAGCTTAACTTTGTCAGTTTTATTAACTCCTGTGTCTAATAAAGTGTCTGTCACTGAATGAGTGAATAAATAAATAAGTATATGAAATATGCAAAATCTATACTCACTCATTGGGACATCTAACACTTCAGATCCTCTTCACTTGGCTCCTGCCAAGTCCTCTGGTACATGGTGAATGGCTCTCCCATGATTGGACTCAGTCTTGCTTGAATGGATTGCTGACTCATGCTCTTCAGTCTCTACAGCACTGGACACCCTATTCCTTAGACCTCTGCCATTTGCCTACTGTTATTACCTTTGCCCAACACCTGCCCTGCCTTTGCTTAGGTAGATCTCCTAGGCCTTCTTCCTTGGATTTGGATGCTTTGTCTTTAGATGTTGCTGTTGTTCAGTTGCTAAGTACTGTCCACCTCTTTGAGACCCCATGGACTGTCGTATGCTGGACTTGCCTATCCTTCATTATCTCCTGAAGTCTGCTCGAACTCATGTGCATTGAGTTGGTGATGCTATCCAACCCTTGCTCATCTTCTCATCCCTGACCTATCTTCAGACTCATGACTTTGTGTATTTGCTACCAGTCCAACTGATACTTGCTTCATACCCAGGATCATGTGTCTTCTTTCGGCCATTCTGAGTTTAAGCGTACCCAGAGAGCAGCTGATTTTCAGCTCTCTCTCCAAATGTCCTTAAACATTCAACACAGAACAGGTTATTTGGGCTCAGCTCACCAACTATCCTGAACTAATGTGGTTCATTTCAAACACATACATTTTTTTTTAAAATAAAATGGGACTGCTTAAAATAAAAGAGGAATGGATTTACTTCAAAACTAAATTATTGTTTCAGTTGCTAAGTTGTGTCCAACTCTTGCAACCCCATGGACTGTAGCCTGCCAGCCTCCTCTGTTCCTTCTCCAGGGGATCTTCCAGACCCAGGGATCGAACCCATGTCTCCTGCACTGGAAGGCAGATTCTTTACTACCGAGGCACTAGGAAAGCCCTCAGCACTAAGTAGTACTGGGGGGAAAACGCTGATACTAATCTTGAAGAAAGTCTGGAAGGTCAGGGACTATGTATATACTACCTTAAATGTGCTATGCACATAGCAAGTACTCAATAAATATTTTCTTATGGATTGATTGGTTGTTGTGACTAAAAATTCATAATTTTGACTGATATTGATGTAGTGGAACATGCCAGAAAGTCTATTTCTAGTTCCAGTCCTCTTTAGTAGCCTTGGCTTACTATCCAAATGATTACGGTCTGAGGTCTTTCATAGCTACATTTCATCAAAGTAGTGACAGCACTGAAGTGGCTGAGTATATGTAGAAACTGTTCATAAAATCATTTCAAGTAAAGGGCTTCAAGATCTTTCTGCTGTTATTCAAATCTATATTATATACTGCAGAACATAAAATACAAGGTATCATGTATTTCCTCCATTATTGAACTAATACCAGCCAAACCTGTACCTGTCATTCAGAATTTGTTTCCTCAAGAATCCTATTCTTTCACTAAATTGTGGATAACCAGAATTGACAGTCTCATGGACTTTAAGGGAATTCAGTGCAATAGATGAAAACTTTGGTGTTTTGAAATAAACAGGCCATGGGCAGTGGATGCAGAAAACTGGGAAGTTACTATGTATCTGTATTGAGACAAACACTTCATTGCTGCTGACAGACTGTAACTTTTTATTATATGAAAAAAAAAGTAAGCCAATGGGTTGCCATGGAAATGTTTATGATGTCACAGAGGATGATTACTCTCGTAATCTATAAGCAGCAAGAGCAGATGTGCTTGTAAGAAACAAAGATCTTGTTTTCATACAAATGTTCTCAAAATAAGACACAAAAGAAGAAAAATACATAGAGCACATGATGCAAAGGAAAAGAACTGCTTCAAAATAGAATGTTTTACAAAGTTTTCCATAAAGCTTCAGCTGCTCCTCAGAGCACAACCAGCTTGAACATGGATAGCAGACGTGAAATTACAGTACTCACAAAATTAGTATCCAAGCTGCACAATCTCTCTTTTCAAAGACTTCAAGCATCCTTGCATGCACAATTACAGAAGCAGGTAATGAGGGAAGATTTTGATTTTTCCTCTATTGTTATTATACTTAGCTAGATAAGTCTCTATAAAAATTGCTTTGTTAACTATAAAAGTAAGCAATATTAGTTCTATTGAAAAGATCTTCTGGTTCTTATTATAAGATACATTGGATAATTTTCCTAAAACACACATTATATTGTCAATGGAGATGGGTAGCAACTTTTAGTAAAGAATCAAAGCTCAGTAACAATAATCTGCAAGCTATAGTAATTTTTTTTTACAATTTTATTATTTCACATTACAATTAATTTCACTTCAATTATTAGAGATTTTTAAAAGGATATTCAAAGTTTATGACTTGAACATCCTGGAATATATAGATAGGATACATAATATATCAAATGAATGAGTTGTGTCAAAATATATTACAGTACTTTCATTATGTCACTTTAAACTTAATCCTATACTATGGTGGTCATTGATACCCTCCCAAGTCAATTCTTCAGATTCTTAAATCAGTCTGCCACAGTAACCTTAAATATTTCTTGGAATTAATCAAAGTTTAAATAATAAAAATTAATTAATTATAATAAAGTTCTCCATGCAATAAAAAAAAATCTCTCCATCCAACTTGCAACATGGATTTGCCAATAAAAATTTTAATTCTAATGTAGCTAAATGAAAGATATGAACTGAGTGGAAAGGAGATGAACTAACAATTCCGACAATTCTAAAATATATTGCTCTTAAAGAAATCTACCATAGAACAGCGCTTTAAATAAAAACACAAAAGGTAAGACTAAAATATTAATATATTGAGCTATAAATCTGCATTACTATTAAGTAGCACATGCTTATTCATTTAATTTTACTTTCAATTTAATGTCCAAAGTAACTTTATTTTCATTCAAATGAAAATTTGTCAGTTTTACTGAGAGGTAAAAATACGAAAATTACCTAAAAGAAAAATAAATAAAAGTTAAAGATTAAAAATTAAAAGTTTACCATGTTCTCTAGCCTTAGTTAAAAGAAATTGAGAATAAGTAACAGGTGTTTCTGAAAGCTAGACTTTAATCCTAGTTTTAGTTCTGTGATCACACTGAAGTCATACACTATTTTAAGACATAAGCTCACTTTTTTAAAAGTACATAATATGAATACAGTACTCTACATGGACACCAATGCTAGAAGTGCACAATGTGAACTGAAATACTATAATATAATCTCTAAAGAAGAGGACTAAAAACACTTAAGAGATAGGCTTTTTCTAAACACTGCAGAGTTAGGAAAAACAAAGAGATGTTTATTTAATAACTGCAAAAGGCAGTAATAGTTTGGTTAGTTTAGTCAAAGGCCTAAATTTTTTAAAAGGCATAGATATTTTAAAATAGAAAAAGAAAAAGGAAATTGCATTAAAAGTGATTTTTAATGAATGATTAGGCAGCATTGTAGTATTTTATACTATATTATTGATGAGGGATTCACCTCTATGATAATTTTTGTTAAAAATGATAATACCAAATATTTGTAAATCACTGTATCAAGAAATAAGGATTCTAAAGAAAAAGACCCGGTCTTTCTATAAAATTGCTCTAGTATACTATGGGAGATAAGATACAGGCTCACGAAAAAACAGATTTTCAGTTCAGTTCAGTTCAGTCACTCAGTCGTGTCTGATTCTTTGCAACCCCAGAAACTGCAGTACACCAGGCTTCCCTGTTCATCACCAACACCCAGAGCTTGCTCACACTCATGTCCACTGAGTTGGCGATGCCATCCAACCAGTTCATCCTCTGTCGTCCCCTTCTCCTCCCACCTTCAACCTTTCCCAGCATCAGGGTCTTTTCAAATGAGTCAATTTTTTGCATCAGGTGGCCAAAGTATTGAAGCTTAAGCTTCAACATCAGTCTTTCCAATGAATACACAGGACTGATTTCCTTTAGGACGGACTGGTTAGATCTCCTTGCAGTCCAAGGGACTCTCAAGAGTTTTCTCCAACACCACAGTTCAAAAGCATCAATTATTCAGGGCTCAGCTTTCTTTATAGTCCAACTCTCACATCCATACATGACTACTGGAAAAGCCATATCCTTGACTAGACAGACCTTTGTTGGCAAATTAATGTCTCTGCTTTTTAATATGCTGTCTAGGTTGGTCATAGCTTTTCTTCCAAGGAGTAAGTGTCTTTTAATTCCATGGCTGCAGTTACCGTCTGAAGTGATTTTGCAGCCCCCGAAAATAATGTCTCTCACTGTTTCCATTGTTTCCCCATCTATTTGCCATGAAGTGATAGGACCGGATGCCATGATCTTCATTTTCTGAATGCTGAGTTTTAAGCCAACTTTTTCACTCTCCTCTTTCACTTTCATCAAGTGAAAGTGAAGTTGCTCAGTTGTGTCCGACTGTTAGCGACCCCATGGACTGCAGCCCACCAGGCTCCTCCATCCATGGGATTTTCCAGGCAAGAGTACTGGAGTGGGGTACCACTGCCAAGAGGCTTTTTAGTTCCTCTTCACTCTCTGCCATAAGGGTGGTGTCATCTGCATATCTGAGGTTATTGATATTTCTCCTGGCAATCTTGATTCCAGCTTGTGCTTCATCCAGCCCAGCGTTTCTCATGATGTACTCTGTATATAAATTAAATAAGCAGGGTGACAATATACAGCCTTGATGTACTCCTTTCCCAATTTGGAAGCTGTCTGTTGTTCCATGTGCAGTTCTGTTGCTTCTTGACCTACATACAGATTTCTCAGGATGCATGAAAAAATAGATATTACTGTGAGTTAAATGATAACATTATTGATGTTGATAGTAGATGCCTAAATAAATTAACCTAAATGAAATTACAAAGTGTGTATTTATAATGTATGGTAGAAACATAGATCCAGGACACAAATACTAAACGTGGTTTAATGATTCAATATAACTAGAGCATTTATGCATAAGGTGTGAGTGAATACATTGCCATTTCATACCCAAAGCTTTTGTCTATAGATTTTTTTTTGTCTTTGATTTCATTAAAAATGCTCAAGTCAAATTTTCCATCTTAAATATTCCCAACAAGAGAAAACAAAAACTGGATTCTGTTTTAGTCTTTGGGGGAGGTTAATTTGCAAACTGTAAACTTTTCATCCCAGACCCTAGTATGGTTGAGTTGAGTCGTTTGTTGCTAGGTGAGGTTTTTCAAGCCAATGACACAGAGGCTCAATGACACACAGTTTGTGGAGGTCCATATAAAAAAGTCTGAATCTGACATATTTTATTAGGAGGAGGAGGTTTTGAAGAACAAGCATGAGATATGGGTATTCTGACTGATGTGGCAGAGAATATGTTTATTTTTCTGATTTTCCTTTTAAAAAATGGAGAGAGAGAAAAATACTGGGAAGGAACTCAATAGAAACATAAGATACAAAGCAACGGCCGGCTTTTACGTGATTTTAATAATTAATTGCCCTAACTGCGATCACACTGACTTCAGAATGTCTTTTGCAAAACTGCCACTCAGAATATTTGCTTACTTAATTAAGTAAAGAAACACAATATAACCTTTACCAGGGAGCAGAGCTGGTCTCAGCCTTGGTTTGATCAGTTACAAATATTACTTCATTTAATTATTAAAAAAAAACAGATTATGAGTTAATTTATATCATTAGGATCCACTTTTAACAGATGAGAAAATAGAGTTTAAGAAACAGTTTCAACTGTTAAGTAACACAGTAAATGACAGAGCTGGGATATCTGACCCTAGGCCTTCTGGATTGAAGACTCTGGATCATTGTAGCACCAATGGCACTTTTGTTGCTATCAGCTGGGTCAAATTTGTCTTGGAGCATTGAGCTGGGAAATATAGTATGTTTAGGCTGCTGATTTCACAGCTTCCTAGATAATAGGACTATGTCATCTATAGCATGTTTCCTCTTTTGCCCAATTACTATGCATTCAGAAGTATGTTTTGTGTTCAACTGCAGCTTTTTGGAACCAAAGACATTTTTTTTCTTTCCCTTTTCTTTCTTTTATGTTACACATAGGTTTTCATCTTATTGTGCTCTAGATTTGAGTTTAAATTCTTTTAGGAAGTATTGGAGGATCAACCAATAATCAACTTCTAACAGCATCACTGACTCAATGAACCTGAGTTTGAGCAAACTCCGGGAGACAGTGAAGGACAGAGAAGCCTGGTGTGCTGAAATTCATGGGTCTGCAAAGAGTCTGACACAACTGAGATGCTGAACAATAGCAACAGTAACCAGAAATCAGTCTTCAACAGAACTTCTGTTTTCCAGTTGACAAATCAAAAAATTACGGAAGACCAGCAGTGACTCCTATCAAACATTTAAGATAAGACGTGGCTAAACGAAGTGGAAAGCTCACCTGAAACCAGCGATCTTAACTGCTTTTAGTATTTATGATAAAAGCACATATATTTAGTTAATTTTGACATTTCAAGCCATTCGTTCTTTCCTTCAGTAGCACCAGAACCTCTGGTCACTCTGTTCCATTCTATTTCATTTCTTTAAAAAATGCTGCTTATAACACTCTAAATATATAGCCCACTAATGGGTCACAAGCTGAATTTGAAAGACACTGTTACAGGAAACATTTTTTGAACCTCTACACCACTTCCAATACTCTGATATTTGTTTAGAATGGAGTGGGAAGCTAAGGAGAGCAGTGGGCAATCCAGCTTTGAATTTTCTCATGCAATGAAAGACATAGCTACATAGAAAAATATTTCAAAGCCATGTGATGGCTTAGAAACAGAAAACAAGTTTGTGAATCACAGTTTCAGGCAGTGAGACTGATTTCTTATCATGAGGTAATTCTGAAAAACTGTGCATAGATTTTTAAACAAATGATTCATATTTTAAATCAATGCTGCATGCTTTCTACTTTAAGCATTTCTATGGACGATCTATTTGTAAATTAAAATGAACATTTTTAGAAAGTGAAAAATCCCACTCATTTTAACTTGCATATTTATTTACCAAGATGACTGAAAAATATCTATAGCTCAGGGAAATGGC